TTGAGAAAAGGGAGTTAAGAGAACAAGTGGAATTCTAATTAATGAGAGAGTCATTAAAATAAGGATATATTTAGGCCAGAACCGTAAAAAGCATGTTGATACAAATGTATTAATCTACTATCCAAAACTCACTTATAGGAGGTTATTTTTTGATCCAATCTTTCTACATATGTATAGCCTGTTCATGAATTTGTCGAAGAGTTTCTTATCTGTACAAATCAATGTACTTTAGTGATATCATGCGTAACGAACAAAACTGAATTGTTGTTGCCTGAATGCAGGGAATCGATCTTTGCGTCCTACTGTATAGCTGACTGAAACTTCCATGAGTTACGCTCAGTTGTTCGCAGTAAGATCTGTGGTTATATTCCACAATCAAAGTAAATCGAAAGGCAAAATTATCTCAACAAAAGCATACATAAGCATTATCTCTCACAGGTAGTGCAGTGCGAGAATTACCCTGATTCACTCAAACAAAATCACATCGCAAAACAACACATTATCAGTGTATCGGACAACTACAAAGAGAAGCATTACAATTGGGTGTTACACAAGAACAAATAGAAGTAATAAGCATCAGATCAACATGTGATATGTAAATGTCGAAATAATGATAAACAGTCTAGGAGAAAAAAGGATGATAATAATAACAAAGTTAGTTGAAACATCCAAATGCGTATAAATACTGTGATTCCATCATTCAGGAGGAGCTTTCCAAATAATCCCTTACATCATGAATTCGTTTCTTCAAACACACTACAATGACACTCAATATGATTGGACAAACGAGAAGTAAAGGCCATTTCAAGTCTCACATCAACAATTAATTTCCACGAATACAATTTTCACTGTTACCACAAACCACTTTTCCTTGATGCAATATGTCAGCGTTGTTCTTTCCCTAGTAACAAAACGTGGAATAGTCGTTTACTAAGACATGACTGTTCTTCTGGTCCTTTTCGACGACGCATTAATGTCAGCACAACATCAATTTAACCGTTACCCAATTAAATTCCGTTTTACTACTATTACTACTACTAATATTATTATTACTGTCATCAATATTCAGCTGTTTTGGTGTCACCACATTAATTCTGACAAAACCATCAATATTCGAAGGTTGGAATTATGAATATAAAATAGCATCCATCTCCTTACAGATATTTACTAGTCATATGTAGGATTAGAGAACCTTTACAAACGAGGGATCACGTAACAGTTATTCGCAGTCAATTTCGGCTTGATTTCCTTCACATTGATTTAAAGGAAGATTTGATCGAAGACTGTAAAAGTTTCTATCCCATATTGCCTAGTACCATTTCATTCGTTAAGAAATAGTAACACGGTGTATTCCTTACTCAGATTCAAATAGACCAAAGAAAGACTTTACTGTCAGAAATAAGTGAGATTTCAATTACAATAGTTGACTGAAAGTTTCTGATTGTGGATTAACCGAAATCTGGTATTTATTCAAAAGTTGAGGCTCCTATTTACCATGGAAAATATCAATTACTAAAGAGCCCATAAAGATACATTCAACGTCTCCTCAAACATTTTAACTCCAACATTTTTATTACTTTTAAATTCAGGAAGTCTCTAGAGTTTCAGATACGCTGACAATGGGTGTAGAGACTTCAGAGATAAGAAATATTATGTAGTTTGTGCAATCAAACAACCAGATTGGTTGGAAATCTTTCAGTGAACGACAAAGCACTTTAGGGAGAAAAATCAAAGAATGCAGTTTGCCAGAGACACTTGTTGATTCTCCTACCTGAATGGGGATGAATAGATGAGATCTCGTTCGAAGAAGGTCCTTCAAATTCAACCGTACAATGCACTGAAGTTGAGCAATATCATAATTTTTCTTAGAATAGTGAATACTAAGATTTTCGTGTACTCTAGAAAAGAACTCTATTTTAAATAATTTCCTAAAACAATATTCAAGATTTGATGGATTTTTTAGCTGAAGGCATTCGATCAAACAGGTTAGCCACATGAAATGCTGTCGTCTAAATTGCTTACACGCAATCAATAAATGACCAAGTAAACATCTCTTCTTAGCCAATGAGATTTCACATCGTTTACGGAAGGTCTCGGTGTTGTTGGCTCTCAGTGTTGCTGAGTGTTTCTGATCTGACAATATACAATCACACCACCTTAAAAGGTGAAATACTTCCAACAAAAAGATCTCTGCATCACTAAATGATACTTAAATACCGATCAAACTTGAAAGAACTCTTAGTTAAGTGTTTAGTATCCGAATGGCGAAGAGTGTTGCCGTTTGGCTCTAATTGTTCGTCGACATTTACATTTCTGATAAAATAATTTCGAAGTAATTTCAAGCCGTCAATGTAGACTACCATGTGTTTGTACTATCCAGATGCCACTTGACTGTAAATTAACATAAATGTTATTTATTTCGGTTGGGAGGTGTGGGGTATTTCCATCCCACTTGTGTAGCTAGGTGTTTTTCTCATCAAAGTCCATTTTTCATATTATTCATCTCATTGTTTGCGGATACATCTAAAATATTTATGTAAATATTTATAAAATTCTGCTTCATGAAGATTTCGTTGGAAGTGTGTGTATGTGTGCCGTGGGGGTGAGGGTGGATTTTCTATATTTTTGTAACAAAATAGGCGATATTAATCTGTGATAGTTCTTGTGTTTATTTTTCACACTTGTAGTTCATTTCATACTGTTGAAATCAAAGTCATTTGTTTATATTTTGATTATGTTTACATGATGTAATAAGTGACGTATGAAGATCGTCGTAGCGGTTAAGTTTGGTGCAAGGTCCACCGCACTATTCGTGTAAGCGGTTGAATGATTCTTCTACTCAAAAATACACATACACACTATAATTACTTTGGAAAACAACTTACTGAGTAAACTTTATGATAAGCGTTATAGAATTATATACTGTCTTTTTTAGTAAACAGTGTAGTGTTCTGGAGATAGCTATTCGAGGTTGTGTAGTACCACGAAGTTCTTGATATTTACACTTCTAATGCATCATCTCACTGTCAAATAATTTAGTAAATATTTCAGTATTTAGGTTTGATCACGAGCTGACATGAGTCAGAGGAGTATTGGAAAAGTAGCTGAGTGTAGCGAACGGGTGTCTCGTCCTAGTTCGTCACTTTTTATCAGTACACACCACTACCGTTGAAGCACACTACACACTGGTTGCAAGGCTGATTGATAGACCACTCAGCCGGTGAGTCACTATCCAGTGGCCTATGAATTCCAACATCTGCATATTCGAGATATGTATAACACAACCGCCAGTTAATGTCATACACGAGCAACTGTCTTTTTACGTAACTTGGAGGACCTAGCTGGTCACGACTTCACACAGGAACTCCAGTGAACTTCCTGTATAAAGCCAGCCGCCAATAAGTATCCGATTAATTTTCAAGAGTTGGTTCATATGGATTCTAATCCATGTACATATTCAGTGGCTGGATCTTTTAGGCGGTTAGTCATGATTTTTTGCAATGAACACATCATGCGACGGAGTGCCTAGTTTAGATGTCTACTGTAGGTTGAATTTCAAAGATGCATGTCAACTGTTGAATGAAAGGGGAATTTCATCAAGTACTACATCCTTATGGCAGACAACAAACGTGTCATTTACATTTCTCCTGCAGATATAAAAGCAACCCATACTTTGACTAAACTGTAGGTTGAGTGTACACTCGAATGAGAGTCCTCTATAACAGGATGCTGGGTGTCCTACGTCTAAATTATATGTGTCAAGACAGTGGCATATGTAGCGAGTGATTTCTGTGAGAGGTACATTATTGCTTTCTAATATTGAATCCCAGTTGTAGCCTTACAGTTATTGCCCGTCCAGCCAGATTTTGGTGTCGCTGAAAGCATTCCTATCGTTCACACCATTTTAGCGACCAGTTACCACTCACATGAACCCATATCAATCAATATCTGTTGACATATCAATCGACCATATCAGAATTCGAGTTAAATGAAGGTTATTCAAACCTTCTATCCTGTGATATTGCAAGGTAATTAACATTGGCTACCATAGTTATTCAACGATAACCCGTGCTGTGTTGAAAACACTTCTAAAGATTCATACAACGAATTTCAAACATCTTTTCATATCATCATTTGACTCATTATTCGGTTGTAATACTCTCTTTTACTTAAGATTTAACCGTCATACTTTACGTAGTGAAATGTTTGGTTTACTTCGAAAGCTTAGAAATTCATATTAGAATCACTGAATATTTAGTATTTATTCATTTCATCATCAGATTATGTGAACCACGAAGAGATTAGCCAAGAATATATTGTTCTGAAAGAGTGAAGGAAGCGGAAACTCACTCAGCCTGCTGAATATCTTGTTTCGTTGACTGCATAACGGTAAACAATCCGCGAGAATCATCAGCTTACAGCATTCATCACTCAACATCGGATGCTGACCTTCACTGTTTAAGTCTAATAATTGAGCTGAAGTTTCGCCGCCAGGCACGCACGCCATCCAACACCATCCCTTTTGCTAGCCAAGCAATCATCATCGCAGTACTATTCTGATAGCATTTAGGATGATCAATCGTGTGCTTTGATTTGCGTTTTTGGTTCAAGCGGAACAAATACTAAAGGAGTTGTGGGTATAAGAACTTGAGTTAGTATACGGCATATCTCGCGTAAACGTCAACATCCCTTCTCTCCTGTAATTATCTTTCCTCTTCAATGCAGATCATATCGACAGATAACATAGATATTGACCCTATAAATAGTGTACACTTCTCAAATAGTCTGTCTGAAGCAAATCGAATTAGGACAAAGTTCGATTAAGGAGGGTTAATATGCCTGTAAGTGATCTAACATGCCTATTAGAAATTTTAGAAAGACTGCTTAGTGAACAAAGCAGTTCGAAAAACTCCGTATCAGTTTCTGCAGTTATATACACCTATAATAACTGAAGAATTATTGTTATTAACAGCATTGATGTTTATTTAAATAACACTGAATTAATAATAATCATACTGATAAGTGTTCATTTTTACAAACTTTCGACAAAAGAGCATCATTGCCGCCTCATCACCATCCATCAGACTGCATAATCCTTCCGAGGGGTTCTTTTGTTCTTTCTGTGGTAGAAAAATTTCTAGAATTTCTATGCCACAATAAGCAACTGCTGCACAAAGATACATCGTTTCAACACCAATTATGAACGCCTGCAGTAGAGCTGTAGGATTCCAGTGAAATCGAAATGCTTGTACTGTGACGAATATTATCTATGAATCCAGAAAATAACATCACAAGACAAAAATAATGAATGTTTTATGTCTAGATTAAATTAGATAAAAATCTATTCTATACGAGTATATACTCAGCTAGTTTGCGCGAAGGGAATGAATGAATGAATCAATCAATCAGTTTTCGGATCAATAAATCTTTATTTCAGTGTAATTTGTGATTATTTGATTGAAAGGTGGACTGTGTTTTAAAACAAGCTACGAATTCGCTCATGATATCATCACAGAAAATACAATGATACTGTGGTGTTGAAGAATTTCTGTTACTGGATAGTTTAAATGTCCATTGTTGTTTGTTATTATTTGTCATAATAATAATAATAATAATAATGCAAACAAATAATCCCGCCGACTACGAATTCCTGACTTCTGTCCGCTTTGTGGTGTTTTCCGATTTAGTGGGATTCGGTCATTGAGAATTACAATTATAAATATAAGTATTGCATTTTGATGTCTCTATGGAATTAAACAATCTCGGGAAGCATCCTAGCAACAGTTCAACGCGGCAAATCGCTGATTACCATGAATACTTTGATGAACAGTGTTTATCAGGAAATATTCGAGATGAAAACATTTCAGCTGATTTTATTTCCCTGATTGGGCTAGATGTATAGCGACTACCGAAAACTCTCTGTCATTTCCAGATAAACCAATTTCACTTCCATCTCACAAGCTCTGTGGGCTTCTAGTTGATCACTCCTGTGTGCAGTTCAGTAAGCTTATTCCTGCTCCTAATTCAAAGAATTCTAGACTTCATTCTTCAGCTTCAGATGGAAGCTTCAAAGTGCCACTTTGGGAATCGGCTTCATACTGAAATGTGTGATCATCTAATTGCTGAGATTAATATTCCAAAGCTAAAGAGCTGGTTCGAATTCCTTTACTTTCCCTTATTTATGTTTTCACACATGAAGATGTTCACAGTGAATACTCAGCTCCCACTACATCCCTGTCTGATGTGATGATATCCAAAGTTGATAATGCAGATGTTCGTAGGAAGAAATCCAAAGTATCATCCATAATCGATGAATACAGTATTATTCACTGATGAGGGGTCGAGAAAACTTCATTGCTCAGAACCACATCAAAGTGCCCATATAACTTTCGAATATGAAAAAAGTGAAAATGATAAACTAATTGAAAAACTGAACAATCTTGAAAATCTCTCGGTAAATACTGTTCAAGTTCAATGAAATTTACAAACTTTGGAAATTTCATACATTTGTTCCCCTTAATGAATTTGAACAAAGCAACAACTACAGATTTAGCAGAATAAAATGGTACCATATTTTATTTCGTCGCCTTCTCTTCAGCTGCTTACAGGGCAAAAACATTATTAAATGTATCTAAATGCATCTTGCACAGAGTTCATTTTAACCAAAAATCAATCGATCAATATACACATACACTAATAATATATATATATATATATATGCAATATTGAACACAATTCCGAGCAATAATAATCATACAAAATGAAAACTTTTCAGTATCTCGCATTAGGATGAAAAATATCCAGTTACCAGGGCAAAGAAAGACTGATAACTGCTTCTTTCTGAACGCACAAATCAGGTTTTAGGCGCTTGATGGAAAAGGCTTCAGCAAACTTAAGGAGCATTGAACTCTTTTGCTTATTGATAATTTTGAACGACTTTTCGACGTCCACCTCATGACCCGTGTCAAGAAGATGCCTGGCGATGGCACTGCTTAAAGCATTTGTTCCTTTTACACGTAAGCGTTTTGGTACATGTTCAGAAAATCGTAGATATGCTTTTCTTTCTGTTCTTCCAATGTAACTGCTCCCGCAGATACATGTAAATTTGTATATACAGTTGGAGTTAACATGAGAAGGATATCTATCGATTTTTGACTGCATCAAAGATCAAGTTGTTCGAAAGACGGGAACGAGCCATAGCCTATGTGGTGGACCTTTCACGCTCTGTTAGCTTATTAACCCAAATTCAAATAGAAAACAAAATACCAAATCAATTGAGTTTACGGGAAGAATATATTAAAGTTTTGTTACTTGGGTTTACAAAGATCCAAATTCCACAATAAACGTAATGGATTCCAGAAGTGCTGCGGGAAGACTGCTCCAGTTCTAATTCTCCAGAGTTGACGTTGCCGGAGGTCGACCAAAGTGCGTAGGAGGAGGCTACGGTGATCCTGCAAAAATTCGAGATAGAAAGCAGGTTGTTATAATTGATCGACGGCAGTTGTTTTAACCAAAAACTCTGTACTTCGAACTTCCTTCGAGTTTCAAATAAATATATAATTCTGCCTTCGACTCTCCATCTTCTCCACCATCTCAACTGCCGTCGATCAATTATAACAACCTGCTTTCTATCTCGAATTTTTGCAGGATCACCGTAGCCTCCTCCTACGCACTTTGGTCGACCTCCGGCAACGTCAACTCTGGAGAATTAGAACTGGAGCAGTCTTCCCGCAGCACTTCTGGAATCCATTACGTTTATTGTGGAATTTGGATCTTTGTAAACCCAAGTAACAAAACTTTAATATATTCTTCCCGTAAACTCAATTGATTTGGTATTTTGTTTTCTATTTGAATTTGGGTTAATAAGCTAACAGAGCGTGAAAGGTCCACCACATAGGCTATGGCTCGTTCCCGTCTTTCGAACAACTTGCTCTCTGGTGCAATCAAAAATCGATAGATATCCTTCTCATGTTAACTCCAACTGTATATACAAATTTACATGTATCTGCGGGAGCAGTTACATTGGAAGAACAGAAAGAAAAGCATATCTACGATTTTCTGAACATGTACCAAAACGCTTACGTGTAAAAGGAACAAATGCTTTAAGCAGTGCCATCGCCAGGCATCTTCTTGACACGGGTCATGAGGTGGACGTCGAAAAGTCGTTCAAAATTATCAATAAGCAAAAGAGTTCAATGCTCCTTAAGTTTGCTGAAGCCTTTTCCATCAAGCGCCTAAAACCTGATTTGTGCGTTCAGAAAGAAGCAGTTATCAGTCTTTCTTTGCCCTGGTAACTGGATATTTTTCATCCTAATGCGAGATACTGAAAAGTTTTCATTTTGTATGATTATTATTGCTCGGAATTGTGTTCAATATTGCATATATATATATATATATTATTAGTGTATGTGTATATTGATCGATTGATTTTTGGTTAAAATGAACTCTGTGCAAGATGCATTTAGATACATTTATTAATGTTTTTGCCCTGTAAGCAGCTGAAGAGAAGGCGACGAAATAAAATATGGTACCATTTTATTCTGCTAAATCTGTAGTTGTTGCTTTGTTCAAACTTTGGAAACTCGTGTGAGGAAAGTTGAGAGAGATTGTGAAAAACTGCCTAGTGAGTACACTAGCTGACATATGTAACACATCGTCAATTGGACCTCAAAGATGATCCTGTGCACAGGAGGCATACAGACCAGGTGGAAATTCATGAAATAGTGTAGAAATAAATACGATTGATTTAAGTGAAACTACTACTGCAGAGTTGCTTGGAAGATCCGAGAGGCTTGAAGACGAAATCAGAGTGCATTACAAACTTGCAGACATGATGGTTTCACTGTGTAAATGTTCATTTCTGCTAGTTTCTATTTATTGCATATACACAATACAAATCAGTACTACAAGAATGAGAATTTGCAATTGTTGTCCTCCCCTCATTGTTATTCAGTCTGCTGGTATTCAATTATTGCAGTTTACAATTCAGAAAATAAATATCACAGCTAGATGGTTGGCACTAGTCGATTTTATTTTTATTCCAGGGTGGAAGAAGGCGTAGAAGAGAAAGATACCAGTGTTTCACTGCCTGTAAATTGTCTATAGAGAAGACTAGATGTCTAACCTTACTCAAAGACGTATGTTGCATTCTATAACCTCTTGAAGCAGATTCTGATGTGTGGATTACCACTTCCGATTGATAAATGATGAGTCAGTACTCTTTCTGTTGTTCAATTGTTCAATGGGTACGTTATGTTGAATAGACAGTTTTAATAATTAAAAGAAATGATTTGAAATGCACCCACAAACTAATTAACAACGTGTTTGAAGACATTAACATGACCAGAGTAGAAGAATTAGACAACAAAATTCCCTCCTTATGTGTCTTAATGAAGACAAATAACACAACAATCTTGGAAATACAACTGCACAGAAACTGTACACAGACCAAATACCTAACTATAACAGCAATAATGCAAATGACTCACAAAAGAAACTGCATACAAACATTGTTTGAAAGAGTTCAAACATACTGTGTCACTTCAGTGGTGAAGCGAATAGAAGAGAAATACACACTAACTATGTTGAAGTGGAATAAAATACTCATACAATGTCATCAAACAATATTTGAACTTCAGTCAAAATACCAACAAAAAGAACCGTCCTCAAAAGCCACAAGGAAATTCATCCTTCCATATTTAAAGAAGAATATTTCTGAAATAACTAAGATGGTTTGAAACAGAAATGCCACAAAAACTAGCCAGCACAATCACTTCATCCAATATTCCACAGACCAAAAGACTGTCCAACAGCAAAAGAAGACAAGACCAATACCATTTACAAAATAAATTGAATGAACTGCTATAAATAACACATTGGTCTAAATGGGCGTCCTCTTCGAGTCAGAATCCAAGATTGAATATTGACCATGGAAGAAGACGGTATATCCTCTTTCATATCTGCGGTGAATTTAGACAATTATGGACACCATTTTGGTTGGGAGAATGTAGACATTTTAAATAAAGGAAACAGCGAAATCGCCAGGGGATTTGTAGAAGCCTGGTAGTCCGATGAATCAGCGATTAACAGACACTTCACTTACTGTAGATCGAATTTACCAACTAATAAGAAGTAAACCACTTGAAAAAACGGCTTGAATTCCAAGTCAATAAAAATGATCAATAAGAATGTATATCACAAACTAGTAACAACAGAAGTTGTCAGATGATACAGTCATATCACCATTCAAGGAGTATTCAAGAAAAGTTCACTTCATATCAAAACTTGCATTGAAGTTGTCGTCTAAAGTGTGGACAATGAGTGCTTTGCAATTAAACCAACCATCTCAGAGAGCACAATAATATTGAAACCATTCAACTGAGCTACAAATCTTCTTTGTTATATGTCTACTTGTAAAGACTGGATTTAGTATTTTCATGTACATTTCAAGTCACAGTTCTACTTCGCTTCTCATATTGTGGTGAGAGATGGTTGCTAGCCAAATTGGTTGACAGTAATTGAGGTCAATGTTTATGTATCAAATATTAGTCATGTTGTGGTGAGAGATGGTTGCTAGCCAAATGGGTTGACAGTAATTGAAGCCAGTGTTAGTCATGTGAAAACAAGGTCAAGATGGACAGGCGGATACAGTTAACATATAGATGAACTGACACAGCCACAAGAGATGCGAGGTTAACTTTGTGTGAGAAACAACCAATCAACAGGCTGTATTTTCTACTAACATTAACCTAAAATAATGTACATCAAAATCTATAAATATGTGTTGATTTTCCGTAATAAACGTTCTGTTGCCTGGCCCTTGTCTTCTGTTGTTACATTTGGTGTCGCTGCCTACCGGCAAATGGAAAGCGTATGCAGTTTTTGTTGGAAACATATGGATCTTCGCGCAGGACTTTGAGGCTTCTTCGCAGTTGAGTGGCGTTCAAGATCTGTTGTTACAATATGATAGCGCACTTGACACTTCGAAATTTTTATGAATTCATCACCATATTCACTGTTGGAGGTTAAGTATGAGGTCGGAAGACAATATCCAATGTCTTCGAACGTCTACGCAATTAGTTTCCGTTCTTAACCAACTACTCTTCCGTATGTACCGCTTCCACTAGTGAAATTAGCAAGAAATTTTATTAGGAGCTCGCCAATGGGCCATAATCATGTCGGTTTTCTTCAAGTGTTGATTTACACTGTCGAACAGCTCTGACTTAAGTTTTCATAAGTAAATTTATGTTCGAATGCATGAATCGGTGAATGGTGGTGCATAAAAAATACTCTAAAATTTGTCTAGGTCTTTAGTGTGCAGCTGTAGAACATCAAGTGTCTTTTGTCAAACAGATGTTCGCTTGTAACGGTAGAACACAAGAGTATTCGGCAGCGGAATTACTTGTTGACAACTTGATGTACAGATTTACGCTGAATACGCCTACTGTACAGTAGAATCACAATTTGCACATATAGTCAGTATTCGGTTTCTGTGTGTTCCTTTCATGTTTTCCACGCTGTTTTATGAATATCGTTCATTTCCTCTCTTCGCCATTAAATCTTCCTCTCCCTATCTACCTTATTCTATATGCTTGTAGATGACAGACATATTGATATCTGCATTTATATACTACTGGTAATTCCTGTTAGTAGCAGATACCAGACACTTAGGACTAAATACAATATCTTTGCATTGAGATTTCTGTTTGCAAAAGTTATTCTCAATTGTGCTTCTTTGTCTCAATTCCATTATTTCACAAGTATCTTTCATTCCTCTTCTTCGCAGCCTAATCCGTCCCTCCACCAGTCAAGATTCTTGCAGAGGCTGTCACATTTGATGTGTTACACACAAACTCTTGTTAACAGTACGCACACGACAAAATATTGTAATACTTGCTTAGCAAACAATAAGTAGAAATTCTGGGGAGTGTTAAACATTGCTTGTTAAAATTACTTCACCAAAAACTTACAATCGCTATTGCCACAGCAACAGTTGCGCCAATCGCTAATCTGACTGGAATCTGTGAAGAAGAAACAAACAGTACACTGAATTCCTTCGAGGCAGAGACAAAGAAGAACAGCTAAGATGATGCATGTAATAAAATTGTTTGTGATGTTTAGTGGTACCATATGGTACTGGCTGAAAGACTGTTCACGTCAAACAGTGGTAATGCTTGCTAGGCAGACTGAAGCGATGTAGAAGATACCGGATAATTGTCTTTCTCGTTTGACATCGGGTTCAGTAACTATGTATTACGTTCGTCGACTCAGCTCAGGGGACTGAGTGAATTCATAGTATCCAAATTCTGCCTAGCTAGTTGGACAAACTGGTAATTTCTGGGTCAACTAATCTAGATTTTACTATATCTTTGTGCTCTGCTAGTCTGATTGACCAGGTCTACTATTTTGACCTGCGTATTTCATCTGACAATCATTCCGGTAGTGTGTGTGACAAACTAAAGTGTTTTGTTTAATGGGCTTCACAGGATCCTCTAACGGAAAAAGTTTGTTTCTAATTGATTCTGTGGGTTTGAATGCCAGCCACTTTTATTCTTGTATTGTTAAGAATCCTCCGTTAGGTTTCTGAGGTTCCTTCTTTGTATGGAAGTTCTATTGATGATTTAAATTGCTTATGATTGATGCCATTATTCTATGCATGTTTGTAATGTGTCGTCACTATTATTATAAATATCATTATCACTGCCTATTATTGATATTAATTTTATTTTTATATTTCTCTACATACTTCCTTATCAATTTATTAGTGTAATTATTAAGTTTTTAAAATCTTTTCTTTCATATCCCACTTTCTATTTTGGATTTTCCTTGGTGCAACTTGGTTTTTGTGTCCTATTACTCAAACATTTCACCAGTCCTGTTTTTGCTGACATCGGGTGGGATGAATGTGTAGGTTTTCTGTAATTACTGGTGTTTAACTTCCCATCTTCTTTCCTTTTTATGCTACAATCTAACACTGGAAGTTCTTATTCCAGACTTTCCAATACCTAAATAATATTCAAGTATCAGTTTGTAGGGGTTTGATTGATTGGTTACAGGATTTCATCATGAGCTGACATTGGCTAGAGAAGCATTGGAAAACCAGCTGGGAGTACTGGACAGCTATTTCCTTTGTCTTAGTTTGGGACTCTTCAGCAAGACGCACCCACCGCTAGGGTTCGAACCCAGGACCTTCTGGTCACAAGGAGAGCTCGTAGACCATGGCTAGCGGTCTCTCTATGTCGTGAATCGGCAGAAGCTAGAATTCATGGTCTGGCCATTGGATCGTGTCCCAGTGGCTTAATGGTCTCCGAGCTATCTAGCCTTGTAACCAGAAGGTCCTGGGTTCGAACCCCGGTGGGGTGCGTACTGCTGAAGAGTTCCAAACTAGGACAGAGGAAACAGCTGTCCAGTACTCCCAGCTGGTTTCCCAATGCTCCTCTAATCAATTTCAGCTCATGATGAAATCCTCTAACCAACATAAATAATATTGTTCCACTGTGTGATATATCTCCTGTTTAAGGGTTAGTTGGTAGGGATTTGATGTATTTCAGGCTTGACCACCGACTGATATCATTTGGAGAACCATTTAAGACTAGCAGGGAGAACTGGACAGCTATTTTTGTATATGTGTATATCTGATAAACAAATTAATATGGAATTACATACTACCACAATGCCCAAGCTTTGCACACGTATTAGGCTGTGTGATGTTATTTGTGCATGTTGAAAAAGTTGAATGAAAACTCAATTCTTAAAACTACAATGGTGGGAGTAAATTGTTATTTCCCTCTATAGAACTGTTTTATGGTACTGTATACTGGGAATGTTTTGGGTCCAGTCTTTACAATGGAATCACAACCGCATGTTGTACAACACTAGAAACTATACAGTTGAATTCAAGGAGATGCTATTCGACTTTAAAAGGCCACTATGTCAAGATGTAGAATTCATGATCATGTTACCTGTCATTTGTTTTTCTCAATTTATCCGAGAAGCTCATTACAAATTGTCAGTCAACCAATTAATCACCTAATGGTGCAGATGATCTAGACTGTATTTCTGAAGTCTTTCTAAGTGTTTTTCCTTGTGAAATTAACTTTGAAAAGAAATTTCCCAATTTCCAGATTATGAATGGCTCTATACAGGAAATTACCTAGAGTTCTAATGAAAAGTCGTGACCAGTGGGTTCCTCGCAAGTTAGGTAAGATAACACTTACTTTCCCAAGACATTGGCCGGGAGTTTAGCTATATATATGTCTTGAATCGGCAGGAGTTAAAATTCATGAAACAACGAGCTGGGTCGCACTTGCCGAACGGTCCGCGAGCTTATCTTTCACCGGAATGTCCTTGGTTCGAATCATTGTATGTGTGTACTGCGGAACAGTCACAACTGGGATGGAACAACTGTCGAGTACTTCCTCACTTCCCCGTGGTTCTCTGATTGATGTCAGCTTGTGTTCAAGCCTGTAAGCAATCAAATCCCTCCTGGACACCAAGACTTCATAATTGTGATGCATAGACAGTTTTTATCCGGTTGTTAAGGTTTTTACTATTATCCAAACTTTCTGACATCAGACATTTTGACATTTGGCAGCTTGAAATAGTATAAGAAACATTCGATTTCCTTTGGATATTATGGCAGCTAAAATAGTGATAATAATAATTCTTTGTTTTGTTCTGTGAAATACTGAGCACCAAAAAAGAAGCGTTATTATGTCGAATTCTGACACTTCCGTGATTATAGGGATCTAGCTGACCTATCACAAAGCGATATTTATAAAAATATATGTATATATAGATTCAATGATCAGTAGGCCATCTTGGTTTTTGCTAGGTAGAGGTCACCTAGACGTCAATTTGGAAAAGTGCAATTTGGTTAATTTTTGACCATAGGACTTGTGGGGATTTTGGATTAAGTTTCAATTGTTAGGTCTTCGTCCGGAACTGAAATCAGTTGAAGATATCACTGGAAACCACCAAGGAGCATCAGACAACTGTTTCGTCCTATTCTTAGGTACCCGCGGATCGAACCCGCGAGCTTTACGTTACGACATCAATCTTGTTGACCATTCAGTCACTTGGGGTTGGAATTCAATGATCCCTGAATTCTAACTTCTTCAACTCATGATACAGTGCTGGTAACTGTTAAAAGACTGTACCGAAGTGAATTAGGTTGATTAGGTGTGTAATTATGGATGCATAATAAAACTACTCAACTGAGAAACTCCCAGTAGCTTTTTCTGTTATCATATGGTTAAACTAAAATGTACTTACAGGTGTAAAAGGAATAAATATGAAGCATACTCCAACGACTATAATTACCAAAGATACTGACGTTATTATGATCAAAACCACTTTTTTCACTGCCTTTGTCCTTAGTCCGAGAATTACTGCTACTGCTGCAATCGCGGTTGTCACAACAAAGACAACTGGTAGATACTTGATTGGAATATAGGCACATAGTGTTGCAACAACTTCAGTGTATAGGAAAAACTGTAGGAGAGAAAACAACAGTTTTTTTTCATTGTTCTAATGAGGTACATGTAAAAGATCTGAAAAGCATTTGATCTGTCTGTCCCCAGTGGTGGACACAGGGAACCACTTCAATGGCCATGGCCACTTCAGTGTGTATTTATCATTTTAATTGCTCGTGTAGAACAAAGTATATCGGCCGTACGCAAAGACAAGTCCACAAACGTATTCTGAACCATTGTTCAGCTTAGTTAACCAGAGGAGAAAAGAAGAATAGTAGCAGCTGTATCCTCGAACACACTTTGTCATCTCCGGATATCGAGCAACCCCACTTACATGAATGCTTCACAGTGCTATACAGAGTCCTTCAATATCGTACAAAGGGACTTCGCATATGCCATATGTACACATCTGAAGCATTAGCTATTCGGGATCTGAAACCGGACCTCTGCATTCAAAAGCGATACATACATTCACTCGTCCTATCGTGGCTAGAGTAAAGTTCTTACTATAATTTTGCTTCTTCTTTTCCTTATGTAAGTTCACTATTATTTTATTATCATTATTATTCTCATCATCCATATTTTATTACCACTCTATCACTGTTTATTAATAACATTGCTTTTTCATACAGATTTTATATGAAAACACTTTATCGCCTTTCCACTAGTTCCTGTCCATTCTCCACGAGCTTATTGATTAGTCATTAATTCACGCTTATTACGTCATGCCAACTTCTGCCTCTTTTCTAACTTACAATTAGTCATCTCTTCTTACACCTTACATTATGCAATACAATTTTCCAAGGACAAAATTTACCAGTATCTGATTGGTCTAAAGATTTCTTTGTTCATTATAATTACGATTGTACAGCTCATGAAAATGAATCGTCGAAAAGAAAATTTTCTTCTCTGTTTACCCCTTTTTCTTATAACCTAATAGTCCTTGACTTTTCTTAATGTACTAAGTGCTTTACTTCGTCAATACACACAACCAGTCAACATAAAGTATCCAGTTACATAGTGAAAGCACTACAGTCGTTGTTAGAACGGACAAGCTACCTTGTTATCCGTGAACTCAAGGATTATGCACGTAGTGGTATTGTGACGCAAATCAAGGTTTTAACTGTTCCAACAATGACACAGCTAATAATTAAGTAAATTTCATAATATCAGTGTGAACACCGATTGTCATTTCGACTTCTAGATTGTGTTCAACGTGAAACAGTGGGATATAGAATTATTCGTGGGAAACTGAAGCATACTTTGAATACATCCATTGATTCTCAAGTATTAATTTACAGGTATTTCATTTGTTTCAAGTTTGACTACGGATTAATATCAGTTAGAGAACCACTGAAAACCAGCAGGGAGTACTGGACAGCTGTTTCGTCCTAGTTTGGGACTAATAGACATTCCCTTCCACCTCAGTGGCGTTTGAACAGAGGACCTTCGGGTTACAAGGTGAGGCCTCGAAAATTAATCTGATTCTTATTACTGACTGGCTACAGGACTAAGCTGTCTGGAGTTCTGGCGAGATTTCGTGACTATTTGAGTCCACCAGGTAGGACGTGATGAAAAATAATCCCCGATGATATTGACTCGTGGTCTTGCCAAAATCACTTTGTTTTCTTGGATTATAGCTTGAAACCACACAGTATTTTCGGTACAAGTATGGAATTTTCAGCATATGATATCGGTAGCCCAAAGTTTGCAGGCCGACCATAGATATCAGGTGTATGTCGGCAGGGAATCGAACCCCGGACAATGTGAATGGTCGGCGAGAGCCCTAACCGCTGTGCTACCAACGCACAGATAGACTTTAGACAGAATTTAGAATTTAGGAGGTATTGAGTCAGTTCTAAGTGGCTGAATGGTTTATGAGCTCGCCTTGTAACTGGAAGGTCCTGGTTCCGAAATGTGGCGATAGTTGTGCACTACCAATGAGTCCCAAAATAGGAGGAAACAGCTGTCCAGTACTCCGCGGTTTTCAATGGTTCTCTAACTGATATCAATCCATGATCAAACTTAAAACATTCATTAATGTTTTTTCTTTGCAAAGGAAGTGATAAACATCCTTCACAGAGATATATTCGTGGATTCTTTTATGCTGAATAGCATCACGATAGCAGGCGATTTTGAAACTCTTAAACAATTTATCAAGATCACTGGCTAGTAGTGTTGGTTTTTGCCGCTTTATCTGTGTGTATGTGTACAACACACTGAGTTAAATTTACTTCTGCCAAGTGGGCGCAGTAGTACCTCACTGAAGCTTATTTTGGTATCATTATAGTCATTGCGTTTTGCTTTGATTTTCAGAGAACATTTCGACAGTGTCACACTGAATTGTATCTCGTTTGGTAAAGGCTGTTGACAAGAAATTTACACAGATTTTATGAAATTCCCCTCTTCCTACTAACTTTCTCAACTCTTTCAACGACTCTTAATTGGTGGATGGTGACTAGCAGTGGAATCCAGGATGCGTATTTCGTCCTATTCGGGACCCGTCATCTGGATGTACCTGCATTTCCCAGTGAGTGATGATGTTCCCACTGAGGCTCACCATCCACCAATTAAATACCAATTAGATGCCTAGACATGGTCGAAGCATCTGCACAAGAAGCCGACATGTCAACCTGAGACCGAGCACTTCGGCCCAATCAATCGACGGGAAAATCTTAAATTCAATTAAACTTTAAACAACTCGTTTAAAGAAATACTAAAAAATCTACGTAAATTTCTCTATACCCGCGTGATGTGCTCAACTCTTCTACCTCAGCTGTTGTGTGAAGTGTATTCTCTAGCACCAACTTCAGCGTGACAGCCATATCATGTGATCGCTATTCTACTCACAGCCGAGTTAAAGAATAGAGATCAAGGACTGCGAAGGCGCCAATGACCTTGAACACATACTATTCGTTGGATAATGGTACCTGCCGTTATTATAGCACCACTGTGAACTCTGTGCGCGAAATGAGGGGCACGTTTCATCCCGATCTTGTTGTTAAGTAATGCTTGGATAATGGGTTGATAACACATTATGGTGACGGTTAAGATCAGGGTAACGGTTAGGATTAGTCTTATAGTTCGAGTTAGGATCAGGGTCAGAATTACGGGGCTTAGGGCTACAGCTATCATTTTTCCTAGTAAACAGGTTTAAAGTGTTCATAATCACCATTTTCATGGAAACCAGATTCTAGTTTTTGTGATTGGCCACATCAAGGTCAGTGGTGCATTAGCATTCCCTGAATCACGACTCTTTAACTTCGCCCTACTCACTTGTTTATTGTTCTCATTTTTACAGTTCTATCAGCTGAAGCAAAGGTATTCGGCCTTACCTGGCAGTAAATGACTTCATCCATCTCAGTTGTACTATGTACTAAACGGTGTCACTATCAAGTCAGACTTTCGACGGGTTTTTTCAATTCTTCTGCATTCCAAGTGGAACAGAAGGCTTCAAGCCGTAAAGTTTCAGTAGCATCAGTGTTTTGCCTTTCCAAGGTAGGGTTGTAAGCTTTAATCATGACCCTCCCTCATTTCTGAGTTTACTGTTGACCAGTAAACTAAGCGAGGTTTGGGAGCGCTATCAACCAGGATCTCCAACATTTTTACATTGAAACTTCTGTTGTGTCCTGAAGAATAGGAATCACCAACTTATTTTCAGTAGTAGAATTTAAACTGTACAATTCATAAAAAATTTAATTGGGAATCCTGTGTAGCTTTTGTAAATTCAGTAAACGATTCTTTGAAGGCCAGTTCTGACTCATTTTCATTTATGATAAGCCAAATAGTTAATCGTTAATTTAGCTGTCCCACTGTCAAACTGTAAGTTAGTAAGCTGATCTCCTCCTGAGTTGGTAGAACCACACATTTCAGGCATATGTCAAATATGTAAGGGATATTTCACCAAAAAGTATTTTATCCAAATGCATCGCTAACTTACTGTCACGGCCATAAGAATACGATTAAGTGGATAAGATGTTTGCGCTTTTTTGACCAGGATTATAATCAGTGTCAAAAGTACTGCAAGGAATCTGAAATAAATGAGAAGAAATAATGTCAATGTGGATAATTCTTTATTAATTATTGATTAAAACACATCAGCGTGATCAACAATATTCTGCGAATCCATATGTGGTTTAGTTTGGTGTTAAAGCGCGTGAAACAAGAAAGGGCATTTCATACAATATAGTGAACATTTTGAAAAACAATTATATTTCTTACGTACAACTCATGTAATACAAATTATTTCTCAGTCATTTTATTAAATGCTGGCTAAAATCAGAAAACTCAGTGAAGCCTTTGAAGTGGATACCGGAGTAAGACATGGCTGTCATCTACTATCGGCGATGATATTCCTAACTGTCGTGGATTGGATTATGTGGAAGACTACGGGGAGAGAGTAGACAGGAATACGTCGGATGAATGAGAATACTTTGGAAGATCTGGACTTCTAAGACGATCCATATCTAGTGTCATATAAACTCGAAGACTTACAGGCGAAAACCAACAGGTTTTCAGAAGAAACAGTAAAGACAGAAATTCAAGTAAACATAGTGAAGGAGCAGGTGATGAAGACCAACCATCACCCAACCTCTACTTTCACAATTTGTCAACTCTTGTATCTTACCTATTCTACTTTACTGCTCCCCGTTAGTCTTTCCTGGGCTACTGAAAAAGGACTATACCATCCTGAGAAGGATGTTGAAGGTAGTCAGTAGGACTAGTGGTGTAAAACTCAGTCAGCTCGTCACTACATTAGTTGATAGGCATCTGAATACATGCGAAAAATGGTCTAAAACCATACTCTCCGACCCCCAACACCCCCTCTATTCCCAACTCTCGCCTTGTATCTCATCAAGTAGAACCAGAAATCAGCATAAAATAATCTATGCTCGTACAACCAAGTACAGGAACTCAACGATACCATACTTGGCCCGTGTTCTAAGCGACAGAGACAATGTTAAGAGTGAAACCTATGACTTGCTTTGTTGTTAATAACATAATTTTAGGCTCTTTTATTTCTCTCTTATTTTGTATTCTATAGTGAACTCCTTCTTAAACATACTTAGCTACCTAAATTATTAACATTGGCTTACTTTTTTACTTTACTGTATTCCTTCTATTGTGTATCTACTGGTTCCGACTATATTAGCTCTATGAGTAGTACAAAATTTTCCTGTCATTAACCATCATGTAATTATTAGTTTTGTGGTTGTTTTTTCTTATTTTTTTATTTTTTTCGGCAATATTAACTGACAATCATTGGTTGTGAACGCCATTGTCACCACCTTAAAAATTTTGTATTATGCAGGATTACTCACACTACCACTACAAACACCGCATTAGACCTGACAATAAAAAACAAAACAACAACCCTGAAATGTTATTTTATGATTGTTTAGAGTTGTTTCAACCAAATTAAGTGATCATCTTAGCGATAAACATTCTTAAATATCATTTCATAACTTCTTGTATGACTATAGCTTTACTGTTACCATGCATAATCATATCATAGCTTCCACTACCCAATACTGAGTTATTATTATATGCTGTTTATTTTCCTTTCTACTTCTTGGTATGTTTTTCGCAATTTTTAAAAATTATTTTGTGTTTTTCCTGTCTTTTTTTGCTGTTGGTGTCTTTATAATTTTTTTTTTGAAATACTCCTTTTAAATGTTTGATAAAATTAGATGCAAATATTGTAGATATGTGCTGAAAATTCCACACTGTACCACTAGTACTGTTTCTGGAATAAAGCAAATTATTATTACTAACCAATAGCAACAACAACAACATCAATCACTATCAACGGAATAAATTTGGAAGATGTCACTTCCTTCACTTATCTAGACAGCATCTTTTCAACTACAGGTGGACTACAAGGATGACGATGTCAAACCGAGAATTGGAAATGCAAGACTTACTTATATCACTCTGAAATCAGTTTAGAAATCTTCTACACTCAACACATAGGATAAAATCCAGATTTCCAGCACCAATTTTAAGTCGGTGCTACTTCAATATAAGTGAAAAAAAATCGTGCACTCGTCATTTACAGCATTTTCAACAGCCAGTTGTAGTCTGTCATCAACAGCTACCAACATTGGCTACATACTGAAGATTAGATGACCAAACAGGAAGAATAAGCTACAGAAAACTCTGTAAACGAACCAATCACAAGCCTGTTGCTTAAAAATTTTGGCGAAAAGAAAGGAGATGGATGGAGCACACGTTTAGGAGACTGTCGAGTGACATCGCGCGCAGTGCAGGCCGCCTCTCGATTGGAACTCGAGTGGGAAACTACGAGTTGGGGTGTGTTCTTTGTATGACATGGAGGAGATCGTGTGAGTAGCAGATATGAACCTCTGGGAAATCGTAGGGCTAGGTGAAGCGTACTATAGAGAACAGGAAAAATTGAGATGTGCCGTCGAAGCCCTATGTTCCACTCGGAATCAAGAGGAATAATAGTGATAATAAAAGAATAGGATAGATTCTTCTCTCCATCACTTGTAGAATCACTGTATTTTACTAGCTAGATCCTTTTCAAATTCAAGGCAGTAAATAGCAATCAGGGATCTACCAGATGTCAGTATTCTCGATGAAGAGAGATACTCACGTATTTTCATGAAAAATTTCTGCGAATGTCATCTATGATTGAAATGAATACATTAAAATTTCAAAGATTACCTTATTTAAAGCTGAATACTTCTCGCTTCGTTTGATGATGACTAGCAGTGGAGTCCTAGATGCACATTTCGTCCTATTTACGACTCATCATCTGCATGCATCTGCATTCTCAGTGAGTGATGATGTTCCAACTGAGACTCGAACTCTAGAACTCTGCGTTTCACACGCTTAAGTATTATCTATAGAATCGGTCAACTGGGAATGCAAATTAACCTAAAGATAAGTGAATATGTCTCCCTTCAGCTGGTTGTTTTACTGATACTTTCTTCGTCAAGTTTGATTTTGAAGTAGTTTCCACCGATTCCACTCTGAAACGATGATTAAAATGAGCGCTGATTCATTTGTCTAAGTTATTCTATCATTGTAATCTATTTATTGTTTGTGTTGGGAATCAGTACATTTATGAGCTTCTCTTCAGTGTACTTATAATCTACATGTTAGTAGTTGCAATGATAAAGTCCATGTGCATACATAAATGGAATTGTTGTGGTATTCAACATAAAATATCTTTAAGTTGATTATGCTGCCTCATGGCGATAAAATACCGCACAAATTAGCTATATATTCACCGAAGACATCAGTAATATCATGATTATTTGACACAGTGATATGCACCTGGCAAACTTGCTCTTCACTTCCATTATTAGCTTCCTTCAAACAACTTAAATCTTAATGTTAGCTACAACACAGGTATTCGATAATATTAGATGGTTGGAGGCAATCGGCAGAAAGCCTTGGAGCTAGGTTTCGTGCTATTGGCACTCCCAGTCAGCAAGGCCTATCTGCAACCTTGAAGGAACTCATGTCCCTTCTGAGATTCGAACGCGTGTCACCCAGTGCTGCAGTCAGAGACGTTACCACTGAGCTATTTGGGCTCGCGATTGACCTCCTGTAGGACTGTAGTGGATACTTTGATTGGACACTAGTAAACTAGTGTGATGTGTCTAGTCCTTTCTTAGCGGCAGACTGAATTCTATCAGTCAGGTTTGAAACTAGCACGAAACCTAGGTCCAAGGCTTCCTGCCGATTGCCTCCAACCATCTAATATCATCAAATCAATGTGCACTGTGATGACGAGCTACCTAGAATGGTGGCCACATTGCAAACCTGACTGATAGAATTCAGTCTGCCTCGAAGAAAGGACTAGACACATCACACTAGTTACTAGTGTCCAATCAAAGTACACAGGTATTCATTTTGTAGGACAAATATATCGGGTTACTTTGCTTAGAATGTTTTAAAGTTTATTTTCTGCAAACACAAGGTCACGGAATCATAAATGTTTCCTTAGGTAGTTTAAGTCAATAATATTCTTGAAAACATTTTTGATCACTTTCCCATTCTATTTGATGTTATATGTGAATATAATGAATGCAAAACTTTATCACAACAATACCAGGACTTTATAAATGACTCACAGAGAGCCGAGTGCCACAATAACGTATGTATCTTTCCAAAACTCCATCTGTTGTTGACTACTACTGCAAGCAAGTAACTCTGAGGCTAAAAATAACCTTACTTCTCCATAAATATAATATCATTGAGTATCACTGGTGTCATCAGAAAGCAGCGGTTAACTGTAAAGCAATCACGGAATCAATGTCTGTTACAGGTACAAATAAAAAATATACAACGGACAATTATGAAGACATTTTAGCAGAATTTAATAATTCATGTTCTAAAAATTATATTCTCACGAACTTTGACAGAAAGTTAATAATACCCTGGAAAGTTTAAAAAAGTCTTTGTGGACAGGTCAGATAATTTGGGTGCCATAATAAACTACAATATTATTGAGGAAATGTGCAACTATCAGAGGACATGATAGTTTCAAGTATCGGGATGTATATTTCCATAATGAAATAATCTGATTTGATGAAAACACACAGTGGTACAGCATTGTTTACTGATGACACTTCGAGAGAAATTTATTGCCCATATAATATCATTTTAACTTGATGGGAATATGAGTGACACAGATAGAGGGAAATGTCTGCAAACTGTACAGAAGAAACGTATATATATGACTGTACCGTTCAAAGGAGATGCAGCAACTGAATTACTGTCATCGGAACTCAGAAAAATTACTGGCTACAACATTCTTTGCTGCAACACTATGTTTAAAATTCCCCACTCTTTGTATAATTCCAATGCAGGTGAAGGATAAGCTACCGAGTCTGTCCACTTCTCTGTACATTTCTAAATTTAACTAATCTTGTAGAGACAGTTACATAGGTAGAACGACTCAGTAAGCTCACTGTCGCCTTCTTGGGTATTTTCCAACCTAGGTAAGTAAAGAAGTCATAAAGTCGATGCAAAGTTCCATATCGGGATACCTTTGGGATATGGAGCACCTCACTCCGCTAAATTTGTACAGATTCGACTGCCAAGCATAGCTGAGACAATCGCTATAAAAATGTTCAACCCAATCTCTGTGCTCACAATTAGTTTGTTTAATCCCTCTCCCTCCCGTCAACGCCGACGTAGAATAGTTATCTCTCACGGTGACACCGGATAACTGTATTTCTTCTAATTGTACTGATAACTTCATTATCAATACCATACTGTGCTATAGTTACATATTTTAATTTTAGTTTCACAATCTATTCTTATTATTCCACCTACATTCTACCTGATTATATTTGATTCTTTAGAATTGTAAATTTTAGTCTTTCGTCGGCTACTAAAAAGGGACTATGCCATATGTCTTCAGCGTGCATATACAAGTTCACTTGCTCTTGTGGAGCTGAGCACATTGACCATACCATGCGTCCGCTTGTAAAACTCGCACAGGAACACTATCCAGCATGGTTAGCAAGGGGAGAACGCGAAGGGGTATACAGTTCGAGAACAGAACATCTGATGAATTCTGGACATCTAGCCCCATATGAAAAGTCCTTCAAAGCCATATATAAGATCCGATCCAAGCTACTAAAGGGAGTGCAGTCAAGACATCTAGGAATAGCTGAAGCACTAGTGATCCAAAAACTCAAGCCTACTGTATGTGTCCAAAAGAAATACTTTCAACCGTTGTCCCTACCATGGTCATCATGAAAAGTCAATCTCACCAATAATGATTATCCTATTACCTTTCTTGTTCAACCTTCCCACTTATTTCTGTCATATTTACCTTTTTTAAATCCCTATCTGCATTATTAGATTTGGTTACTGTTTTTATTTTTATTTTTACGTGTGCAAACCTCCTACCTATTTCGTTAATACCACATGCAATTAGATGTCACGTGTGTGGATGGATGTCCCACCAACGACAATGGTTGGGGTCGCTCTAAATCACGAATTGGTAGAAGTTAGAATTCATGAGCCATTGAATCGGGTCCCAGTGGCTGAATGGTATACGGGCTTGCCTTGTAACCGGAAGGTCCTGGGTTCGAATCCCAGTGGGTGCGTACTGTCGATGATTCCCAAACTAGGATGAAACAGCAGCTGTCCAGTACTCCAGTGCTGGTTTTCAATGGTTCTCTAACTGATATCAGTCCGTGATCAACTCGTAAAAACATAACAAACCCTTACAAACCAAACTATAGAAAAACTACATCCTTAACCCGTAATTATACAAACTGACTGGTTTTCTAGTTATTATAATCCTAATTGTCTTTTCTATCCGATCTTGCTGATTATTACACATTGGAATTTTAATTTGACCTTTGACCTGAAATATTTCTAGGATAGTACCACTACCTATCTTCTGTTTATTAAAACAAGCAATAAAGGTTAATAAAGCAGAATTCAGTGAATTCATCAAATTTTGGTAGAACTCGTCAGCTGAATACTCTACATACACGGATGTATATACTTTTGAAATTACATTACATTACATATCTCAATGTAATTTCAAAAGTATATATATCCGTGTATGTAGAGTATTCAGCTGACGAGTTCTACCAAAATTTGATGAATTCATTAAATTCCGCTTTATTAACCTTTATTGCTTGTTTTAAATTCGTATCGGGAAATAAATGTTTCCAATTCTGTTTATTACACTTAGTAATTTGGTTAATCTAACCTCTGGCCGGAAATAATTCTGGAACTTCCTCACACATGTAATACAAATACACGAATGTACAGCCTAGTTGATAATTTCGTCGAAAAGAAAATTTTCTTCACTGCAACCGTCTTTTTAATAATTCTTATGATCTAATGTGTATATTCTATGTCATATTGTGAAGAGTATTAAAAGTTTTCAGTAGGGCGATTAGTGGTGGTGGTGTCGCACTTACTCAGCTCGTGGCTATTGCAGTCGACAGACATCTGAACTCATGCGAAAAATGGTTTAAATCTATATTGGCTGACTCCTCTCAACACCCTCCCTATTCACAACTCTACCCTCTTGCATCTCATCAGGTAAGACTAGAAGTCATTATAAAAGATGATGTGCTCTTACAACCAAGTACAAAAACTGAACGAAACCCTATCTGGACTGCGTTCTATGGAACAGAGAAAGTATAAAGCGTGAAACTTACGACTTACTATGTAATTAGCAAAGTAATCTGCCCTTTTATCTTCTGCTATTTGTAATTTATGGAGACATTGTTTTAATTCTCTTGTTATCTTAGTTATCAACATTATTATTATTATTTCTACACTTCTTGTACATTTCTGAATTTATTGTTACTGCTAATACCAAGAAGATGCTATTATCAATTTTGGTTACCTATACACTGTAATATTCTCTTTTTTTGCTGTTGTCGAGTTAATTAGATGCAGTACTGTGGGAAATGCTTAGAATTCCACACTGTACCACAAGTACTCTCTTGTAAGAAAGCAGAATATTACTATTATTATTACACTACCTCTCATTCACTCATTTGGAAATACACATTTCCAATATTAATACATGAGTTCTCATGAAATAACCAGTTGGGGTGAAGAACAATCTGCTAGGAAATTATCAAGTGTTCCTTACTGTTAACCTCATTCGTGTGAAGATTCAGCGTATATCACAGATTCCTATAATATTATACGCTACACTCCTATCAGTAAACATGATGCAATCATATATTTCGCGTTGAACATAACTGTACGATGATAAAACTCCAAATAAATAGTTATTTCATAAAATATATGTAATAAAAGTTGAGTAACTTACAGAAGTTAACTGATGTTTTCAGAAATATTACACTATTACCTATTTATAAGGGCTGTGATTCACTGAAACTTAAGAATTTTAGAATTGAACTTTGATAAAGAAGCAAATTCTGAAACCTGTGATTACAAAACAATCATGTGTTTAAATCCTTCTAAGTGTTGACGAGTGAAGATTGTTTTCCACCTACGCAGTCGGTATTTCTTGCTTAGGACAGAAATTCACCAACTAGAAATCAGGAATCACGTCTTTATCGTTCAATGCGATAAATATACAAACCACCTACCTCTTGAATTCACTTCTTTTGAAGATCTCAAAACTTTTTAAGCTAGAGTGAGTGATATGATTCCTTTTTGAGGATGTAGCATGACTTCCAAACAGAAACACAAGTGCCTTCTTATCAGGTAAATTATTTGCTATTATTGTATGCCGTCTATCAATGTTTGTTTTTCCAATTTCCAAATGATTTAGATCTTCTTTCGTCTTATATGCTTATAAAAGAAATGATGTCCAGCGAAGGGTTACTCTTTTCTGCGATAGCATTCTCAAGCTGTACAGTCGCAAAAAGATAGTAAGTTTTCCAAAGATTTGTCATTAGAACTGTAAATTTTAGATAACAAATTTCGTTAATTGGTTAGAAACTAAGATGAAATAAGTAAGTTGAGTGACGTAATCTGATTGGCGGTGTTGAATAGAGCTCAAATAAAATTAAAATTGAATAAAAGTCAAGTTAACAACAGTGTTAGTAATGGGTGGAGATTGAATCAGGGGTGGGGAGGAGGAGAAGAAAATATTATACGATTAAGAAACAAGCAAACAAGAAAAATATGAAACAAAAGTCACGTATCTGATGTTAAGATAGCTCAGGTCCACTGTAGATTTAATGACTGAACACACTTCCCGTTTTGTATACAGAGTTCAGGATTTGACATGTGAATCGCCATTGCCTCTGTGATTTGAAGAAGATTGATGTGTACTCTTTTAGCAAGATTCCCTCGTACTCTGTAGATGATTTTGAAGTTACTTCGTGGGTTAGTTTAGTGTAGTAATTCGATCAGGATTTCCAGAATAGAGCTTCGGGGGGGGGACCTGTTTTCTTCTTTATAAAGCCATGAGGATAAGTGTTCGATGATACTTATGGATAGCAAACGCTGCATTACGTAATTTGTTATCTAAAATTTACAATTCTAATGACACACCTTTGGAAGTATTCCTTATGTTGCTAAGACACTTTACTACATATTTGCGATTGTACAGCTTGAGAATGATATCGCTGAAAAGAGTAACCCTTCGCTGAATGCCATTTCTTCTGTATGACTCAATGGAAATTTCATGTTTATTTTTCAGAAAACTCAGGAATTCGTTTCTCATCGCGTTTCTATCGAATGCAATGCAATCTCTGGCTTGCTTCCAAATCTACTGGGATATTTTGCAGTTATTAGCAGGCAGTCTGTGG